CCCTTGTATCAGCCATTGTACATGGTAGAGTTTTAAAAGTTTTTCTTGACTCAGGTGCAAAAATTAATATTGTCAAGCCCTCAGCTCTTAGAGACATTGAAAGTATGCACCCTACTATTTTAAAACAGTCACACATACCTTTTCTAAGTGGTATTTCAGGAAATAAAGTAAAAGTTCAGGGTGAAATTGACCTCCCACTCAAGTTCAATGATGTCACATTGTCTATAACATGTTTAGTTGTTGACATTATTCATTTTCCTGGAGACATTCTCTTAGGTCTGTACACCATGATTGATGAAAATATTGCATTGTTTCCCCATCGTTGGAACATAAGTATCAAAGACCACGTCATACCCTTGTGTAGCATGTATCGACAGGGCCACGAGTTCAACCTTCAATCAGATTATGTTAATTTTGTTGACACCCGCCTTGCTAGCGTAGGTTTGTCAGATCATTGTCGTGGTAGCATACCCGAGAAAACAGGCACTCGATTGAAGCATAGTAGTTGTGCAGTTGTTAAGGAGAATGAGTATCGGGACTTTCTGGAAGGGGACGCCCTAACGGATTCTCGTTGTCTCGCTCGCCTGGCAGCTTCCATCTCTGAAGTCAGTGGTTCCATGGCTACTGACACTGTGTTACACCCTCATTCTCTCACCAGAATAAGAGTTAAGGTTCAGGGAGTGCCTGAGTTGTCGGATGTGATTGCGGAAAGTGAAACATGTAAAGTGAATGGTACATTTGTTGAACCCTCCTGGCACACAGTGCAGGATGGTACTGTCTCACTTTTTATCGCGAACACAAGTAATGCCGATATCCATCTCCAGTCTGGTACCCATGTTGTAGATTTTGCCCATTGCTCGTTACCGGTGCGAGTTGTGGATGATGTCTCCATGGATCATACTGTTTGTACGCTCACACCAGGAGAACAGGGATCTCAGCCAGAGGTGCAAGCGCAACACCTCAGTCCTACTGATTTTCCTGACTCTGTGGCTCAGCTTTTGAAAATTTTGAACAAGAATAGAGCTGTTGTTGCTCTACCAGGAGAAAAATTAGGTCTCACTCCTCTTATTACACATAAAATTCCCCTTGAACAAGGAACTACGCCTATTTATGTACCAGCTTACCGACTTCCCCATTCTCAGAGAGCAGAAGCAGATAGACTTGTAGAAGAAATGTTACAGAGTGATGTAATTGAATCGAGTAATTCGCCATGGAACGCTCCATTGATTCTTGTACCAAAGCGAGATGGGTCTTGGAGACCTGTAATCGATTATCGCAAGCTTAACAGAGTAACAATACCTGATCGTTTCCCACTTCCAGTTCTCAATGATTTGTTGCAAAGTATTGGTCGAAACAAAGTATTCTCAACGTTAGATTTGTTGCAGGGATTCTGGCAAATCCCCCTTGATGAGGAAAGTAAACAATTGACAGCCTTTAGTACTCCCAATGGTCATTTTCATTTCAAAAGAATGCCGTTTGGTTTGCGTAGTAGTCCAATAACCTTTTCACGGCTCATGACAAATCTATTTCGTAGATTGATAGGAAGTACGCTTCTAGTTTACCTTGATGATCTCATAATCATGTCGCAAGATGTTCAGACTCATTTCCAGAACCTTGAAAAAGTACTTGCAAAGCTCGCTGAAGCTAATTTAAAAATAAAGCTTGCAAAATGTTCATTTTTAAAGCAAAAGATTAATTTCCTAGGTCATACAGTTACACCTTCAGGTATTACATTGAATGAATCAAAAATTATCGCTGCCCGTGATTTTCCAACACCTCGTACCGCAGAAGCCGTAAGACAGTTCACAGGTCTTGTAGGATTTTATCGTTCATTTATTGCTGGATTCTCTATTATAGCCGCTCCGCTTTACAAGTTGCAAAGAAAAGATGAACCCTTTGTTTGGGGAGAGGCCCAGGATCAATCATTCAAAAAACTCAAAGCAGCCTTGATTTCGTCACCTGTCCTTAGGTACCCAGATTTTTCTAAACCTTTTACGTTGGTTACAGATGCTAGTGACATAGGTTTAGGTGCTGCATTACTTCAAACAGAAGGTCACAGAGATCACGCAATAGCTTATGCTAGCCGCACATTATCTAAAGAAGAGAAAAATTATAGTGCAACAGAACGAGAAGCCTTGGCAGTTGTTTGGGCACTTAAACATTTCAAGGATACAATTTATAATTACCCAGTTCATGTTCTTACAGATCACCAACCATTAATTCCCTTGTTCAAAAATAAGAATCCAGTTGGAAAGTTTGCTAGATATTTGCTCACAATTCAAGAATTCAATCCCACATTTGGATATATTCCAGGAAAGCAAAATGTTGTAGCCGATGCGTTTTCTCGACACGTAGCTGCGATTCAGTTAAATTACCCAGCATTAGATGCTACAGTAGTAGAAACGGAACAAAGACAAGACCCCATATGGGCACCCGTCATTAAATTTTTGACTAAGCAAGACACTCGCCCGATTCATAAACCACCAGTACCATTGAAAGAACTAGTTATGTTGGACAATTTACTGTGTAGAGTAGTAAAGCTAGGGACAGCCCCGAGGAAATGTTGTCAGTTAGTTGTTCCAGCTGTCTTGGTACCAACTGCGTTAAAAATTATCCATGATGCTCCTGCAAGTGCACATCCAGGAAAGGATCGTACACTCCAACAAGGTCGATTGAAATATTTTTGGCCAAAAATGGCTAAGGAGATTGCTCATTATGTTGACAGATGTTTAACTTGTTTACAGCACAAGGGACATGTTTCAGGACCTAATCCAATTCAGGTGTACCCAGCAACTAAAGCTCCTTGGGAACGAATATCGATGGATTTATTGACAAATTTTGCGGAAACAGAGAAAGGGAACAAACATTTGCTTGTAATGGTCGATAATTTTTCACGGTTTTGCGAACTAGTTCCTATCCCGAACAAAACAGCAGAAACCATAGCCAGCGCATTCCATGACCAAATAATTTGTAGATATAGTATGCCTAAAGTAATCCTTTCAGATAATGGTCCGGAATTCAGTAATAGTATTCTAACTAGCTTGTGTGATTTATATAACATCAAAAAATGTAGCATTATGCCTTACCATCCGGCAAGTAATGGACTAGCTGAACGTACTAACAGGAAAGTGTTAGATGCCTTGAGAGTCACGTTGAATTTTGATAACAACAATTGGGATGATTTTATACCCTTAATTCAGTGTGCTATAAATTCTTCAATTAATGTTTCTACTGGTGACACACCTCACGCTATTCTTTATGGTACAGATAAGATCCTCCCTAATGAATTGATTAACGTACCTCCTACTCCCTTATATAACGTAGATGATTTTGTTCAAGTGAAGCGTAGACAAATGCAATTAGTATTCAAGAAAATACGAGAACAACTGTCCAAAGCAACAGCCGAGTTCACTCTAGCAAGGAATGCACGAGCTAAACCCAATAAAATAACTATTGGATCTGTAGTAATGATACTTAACCAACACAGGTCTGGTCCTATGTACAAGTTAACTAAGAAATTTTTGGGTCCATATAAGGTAATCGAGCTTATTAAAGGTAACAAATACAGACTTAAGAACTTGTTAACAGGAGAGTATATAAATGAGCATTTAGACCACATGAAGTTAGCTAAAATGACTGTTGACGAGACTGATGAGGAAGATGACAATGAACTTACCCAGACAGATACTCCTACTCGGACACCACCTTCTGTGGTTGACAGACCACTTGATGTTCAGCAACCCCATACTAGCAATTATAATCTTAGATCTAGACCTCTCGTTTCAACCGTGCACTCACCACATGTCCATTGGCTAGATGTTAACGAGGATATCTCTCAAGATGATAGTTTGTCACATGAAGTTTCATCTGTTCCGGACCTTCAGTCAGAGCCAGAGTTGTATAGTGCTCTGGATGAGCTAGGTGTAGATATCCGCAGAATTTATAATTGAATGCACTCTGTAGTTATTCTGTTTGTTTTGAAAAAAAAAAAAAAAAAACTCAATTGCAGTATTTCTACCACATGTGTCTTATTATTACCATTATATATAATGTATAGTTTTTCTCAACTTTATTTTGTTATGAATTAGATGCCATTGTTAAGTCTACTACCATTTGTATTTTTACAGTGCTTGTCATAAGAGTTATTATTGTTCTAGCAACCACATTGTGGCCAGTGAATCCTGATTGCTATCACGCAGATGTTAGTCTTCTTGATCCAGGTCTTGTATATGCTTGTAAATATATTGCACATTATATATATTGTACATTGGTCTTGTAAATATATTGTATATTTCGAAAAAAAAAAAAAAAAAAAAAAAAAAAAAAAAAAAATTATCTATCTTGAAATTCAATTGTGGTTGTTAGGTCAGAACTTTGTTCTATTAATGTAATAATTGTTTAATTTTGTATGGTTTTCAAGCACATGCCATTGACACATGTTAATAATTTTGTTTAGGCAATACCTTGAGTTGTATTGTTCATATCTGATCAGTAGACATACACATGTTCTTAATACTCTGATTTAATCAAAGCATTGTTACCATGATTTTCACCTATTATGATGAATTTTTTTTTGGTGCATATATGCCGAGTTGTTTGTATTACGCACACCTGATCTTCTTTCAATGTTTTATTATGCAAATTTCACATGTAAGCCATTATTGTATCCCACCGAGGTCCTTTCAGTATCATTGTAACTATATAGCTAGCCAGAGCTTGTCGACAAGGGACGTCGACTTGGTAGCGTGTCCGAGCGGTGTTATACTCAAATTCTGTCAGTTGAAATGTAACCAATCACAGGCAAGTAGGCCTCTGACGTCATGCGAGACAGAGGAGCATCAAGCATGCTCCCAGCAGCCTCAGTCATCCTCACAGACCCAGAGTAGGTGGACCTCGGCTGGCCAGTTATACACCTGTTTGCCTCACTCAATAAATATATACAGAAGCGACTACTGTGTCTACATTCAACCCGAACAAGGCAAACGAATAGATGAGCTTACCTTTTATACATGCAATTAGATATATATAAAGGTGATATTACTTCAAGTGACCAGCCTATGTACTCATTATGTTCATGAATTATTCCAAAAATCTTCTCTCTTTGCTCTTCTGTCAGTGTTTTTGAATCGGCCACACCAGCAGCTTTGAGATCATCGTGCTTGCTCAAAGGGCAAAAACAAATTCCATACACCATAGGACCTGGGTAATAAAATTGGGAACAATCTTAATATTGTATAGTAATGCTCTAGTCAATTATTGTATTATTTAAAATATGACAAAAAGGTCTAACCATGGTACATGAGACTTTCGTTATGGACTCTGCTTATACCAGTGCAGTGTACTGGGAGTACCGCTGGTGTGACCTGGCCTCTCAACCAGTGTCCAACATCTAGTTACTGTCACCCTAAGGTAAGGTAACCCTCATGCTTCATTCTATTTATTTAGAGAATAAAACATATTCTATTATAGAACATTTTAATTACAATCAAAACCCTAAACAGAACTTAAAACTTTTCAAATTCAAATTTTTATTCAAAAGAATGTGTGCACAAAGAATATACAGTAAGAGTAATGTAAAATTGGACACAAGTAATGAAGCCACTACGTTTTATGCAAAGAGTTCTAGGCCTACCGGGGACCACGAGCCAGAACCTGGCCCCCCTCAGAGAGGCATGAGGAGCAATGGACTATAGAAATCCCTGTGTGGCTGGAGGCATTCTATGTATGCCATCGACAGGGTCAGGCACCCAAAAAGGTAGGCACCCAAAAAAAACCCTATCTAGTTACAAATTTGCTACTGAAAGCCGAACTGTTGGACAGAACTCCCCAAAGTAAAAACGAGCAAATGAGCATGACGTCACAACCATCACCACGCCGCTGTCTGTGCAACTCCCCCTCCCTGGGAGGGAAAAGGGGAAAATCCAGACCCCCTCCTGCACCGGCTATCCACCCCCAGTTTAGAGGCTGGATGTCAAAACAGCTAAAACTGCCGACCGAAGAGAGGGTGGGTTGCTGGGGAGGTTATCTTGAGATGATTTCGGGGCTTGTTTTTTTAGTGTCCCCACGGTCCGGTCCTCGACCAGGCCTCCACCCCCAGGAAGCAGCCTGTGACAGCTGACTAACACCCAGGTACCTATTTTACTGCTAGGTAACAGGAGCATAGGGTGAAAGAAACTCTGCCCATTGTTTCTCGCTGGTGCCTGGGATCGAACTCAGGACCACAGGATCCCAAGTCCAGCGTGCTGTCCACTCGGCCGACCGACTCCCGGGAGCCTCCAGGCCTCACCCAGAAAATGGCCTTTCATTACGTTCAACGCTGGTTTTCTGTGGAGAGCCCCTCCAGCTTCCCGGAGTAATCTAACAACAGAAACATAAGAGGAACTTATCAGCCTCAGAACTGAGGTTGGATGGCCGGCACGAGGGGTTTAGGGCTTCCCCTTCCCCTTCCTGAGGAGGGAAAGCTGCACAGACAGCAGCGAGATGGCAATTGTGACGTCATGCTTGTTTGCTTGTTTTCAGGTTGTGGAGTTCTGCTTGATAGTTCAGCTTTCAGTAGCAATTTTAACCAGGTGGAGCCTGTTTTGGGACGCCTACCTTTCTGGGTGCCTAACCCGGTAGATGGCAGACATAGAATGCTTCCAACCACATGGGCATTTCTATAGGCCACTGCTCCTCATGCCTCTCTTAAGGCCCAGGTTCTGGCTCATGGTCCCCGGTAGGCTAGAACTCCAATCTAATTGACTGATGCCACGGTTTAATACATACACATCAGCCCAGTATAGCTCCGGGGAGCCGGAGGGGCTCTCTACAGAAAAGAATGATAATAATTACATGATGGATGGAACAGCAGAAATTGAAACATCATAGCAAAATTAATTTTAACTAAATAAACAGAATACTATAATTTTCTTCAAGTTTATACATAGTGGATATCAACAGTTATACAAGTTGGTCAATAATCAATATTGTTTGAAAATAGCAAGACATAGGTTGACATTTAGGAGGTAAGGTAGGTTACATGGAGTTTATTAGGTAGTAGTACTTAGTTTTATCCTAACTTGGTTGAAAGAGGGACAGTCTTTGACGTGATTGGGAAGGTCATTCCACATCATCCTGGGTCCCTTGATTTGCAGTGCATTTGTTATTGGGGCCAGAGTTTGTTATTGTTCTAATAGCAGATTTGTATTGAGTAATTAGAGGATGTAGATGATTTTGGGTAGTAGAACCCCAAGCACAGATACCATAATGGAGATAAGGATAGATGAGAGAGTAATAGTGTGTTACCAGGGCAGGGCGAGATACTTGTTTCTTGTGTGGTGACCCATGAGTTCTATTACAGCGCTCTAGAAACCGCTTAATTGGAAACTGCCTGAGAAACCGCTCAGGATTGGCATTGCAGTTCAGTTTTATAGATACAGAGAATGTTTGAAAGTATGTGCAGTGACTTGATATTTAACAGCTCCCTTAATTTCAGTAAGGGAGCAGAGTGGAGTCTGGGACTACAATTTGTTATTGTTCTAATTGTTGATTTTTGTCGAGTAATTAGGGGTCAGAGATAATTAAGGGGGGTTGATCCCCTGGCACAGATACCATAGGTGAGATATAGATAAATGAGGTAATAATACAGAGTGACTAGGGCAGAAGACTTGGTTAGGGATAAAAATGATGGAGAAAGCTGAGGACAGAATACTCACCTGGACTGAAGAGCAAAGCTCTCCACTCTGACAGGTTTGACCGTTTGTTTTTTTGGGAGAATCGAGGCCTCAGAAAGGGGAGGAGAGGGCAGGGCAAGGTACATAGTACTGTATCTGACTTTAAGAGAATGCCTACAGTTTTAGGAACTTTATTAGTTATATACAGTATTGTGTATGGCACAGGGGGGCCTGACAGCTGAGTGGACAAAGCTTTGGGTTTCGTAGTCCTGAGGTTCCGGGTTCAATCCCCGGTGGAGGTGGAAACAAATCGGCAGAGTTTCTTTCACCCTGATGCACTGTTCACCTAGCAGTAAATAGGTATTTGGGAGTTAGACAGCTGCTACGGGCTGTTTCCTGGGGGGGTGTAACAAAAAGGAGGCCTGGTTGAGGACCGGGCCGCAGGAGACGTTAAGCCCCGAAATCATCTCAAGATAACCTCAAGATGGCAAAGGAAATTTAGTTTGTTGTCAATATGAACACTAAGGAACTTCACATCTACTCTGCTCATAATTTGGATACTGTATTGTTAATTCTTTTATTAATTTGAGTGTTGGATTTATTACCAAACAATATGTAAAATGTCTAGTCAATATTAAAGGTAAGTTTGTTAGCAGTCAACCACAAATGGACTTTATTTAGTTCAGTATTCACTATGCTATTAAGAATTAGTGGGTTAACATGGGATAAAATGAAGGCTCTTTCGTTTTCAACTCTTTCATGATCTAAAATAAAATAAATACTACCAGTTTTTTTTTACCACTGATAACCAAATAGACAAAACACAACCTAAAAAGTTGCAATAACCTGGAATCAAACAAAAAGTTACTGGCGAATGAAGCATTAAGTTGACAGGTCAACATTCATAGTAACTTTATTTATATTCGTAATAAATTAATAAATAAAATAATAAATAAATGTTTATTTAGGTAAGGTACATACATACAAGAAATTTTTACAAAGATTGGTGGACTTATAGATAGAGCTAGTACATACAATGCCTAAAGCCACTACAGTATTACGCAAAGCGTTTCGGGCATGAAAAACTTAAATGACTAAAGCTTAATACTAATTGAGCATAAAGAGTAAAATGAAAACAAGAAATGAAAACATAGCTGAAAAAGCAGCACAAATACAATTCTGTCGACAAACAGTGCTCTTTAAAAAAACAAACAGACATTGGTTGACAATAGAGGGGTAAGGTAGGTTACAGGGAATTTATTAGGTATAGCTTCGTTTTTATCTTAAACTGGTTGAGAGAGGTACAGTCTTTAACATGGTTGGGAAGGTCATTCAACAATCTGGGCCCCTTGATTTGTAGAGCATTTCTAGTTTGATTAAGTCGTACTCTAGGAATATCAAAACTGTATTTATTTCTGGTGTGGTGCTCATGGGTTCTGTTACAACCTTCTATGAAGCTTTTGAGTTCAGGATTGGCATTACAATTTTGCGTTTTATATATGTATAATACACATGAGAGAATGTGCAGTGACTTAATGTCTAACATCTTCAGAGATTTGAGTAGGGGTACCGAGTGATGTCTGGGGCCAGAGTTGGATATTGTCCTAATAGCAGCTTTGTGTTGAGTAATTAGAGGACGTAAATGATTTTGGGTAGTAGATCTATGTAATGTAAATAAATTAGATCTGTACACCAGTTGATTGATCTAATTAAATGTAAATATCTAGATCTAATTAATGTAAATAACACACCTGAAATAATATGAATGGATAATACCAAGTAGTAAATAGGTTGGTATGATAAATTTTGGGTTTGAGCCAAGTTAAGAAGACAGGTAAATGTGTGATCTCACCTAAGACGGGACCCCTGCCAGCCTCGTCCACCCCCAACACACACGGCTCCTCCTTACACACGTCTGGCACGGCCGAGTCCAGGAAAACATTTTTGTGGTTATTTTCGCAGCACTCGGACAAGTCCATTGTGATGGGGTCAATGTGGTACTTGAGTGTTCTCGACACGGGGGTACGGGAGCGCGTAATGTTTGGACTAATTCGCGGGTTCCTTAACTCTGAGAGGGATCATTAGTACAAATGTTTACTATTTTATTTACTTGTTGTTAAATGAGGGGGAGACGACGATTGAGGAATCGGAGGGGCCTTTTATTTATTTAGAAGTTAGTTTATAATAACAACAACAATAATAATAATACATAAAAACAATAATAATAATGCATAAATAAAATAAATAAATAATAATAATAATACATTAGTATGCACAAGCTTATATACCTTATTCTATATGAAAGATTACAAAGTGTAGATAAAAAAAAAACTAGCTACAAGTTCATCTAATATCCTCATTCCACAGGATGCATGGAATCATGCATGGAATCAAGAGAGAACATGAAACGCGAGGCCTCTGATTCGGAAAGGTTGATGATATTCTTGAGAGATATAAGAATTTTGCACCAAGATTGTAATATTTTGTTGAATTATCTGCAGGTGTCTTGCAATTTGTCTATACAGTATACCTAGGTCATAAAAGTATTTGTGTGTACGTCTGATAACATACTACTTGTGAAGGAGGAAATGTATATTTTTACCTCTCAAAATGTTTGGTAATGTGTTTATTTGTGATGTGTGTCTATGTATATATTAACACGTTGTACTGAATGGGGTGAGAATAGCTTGAGCTACCTCATCCCTCTGTGTGTATTTTACCTCAATAAACTTATTTCAATTTCAATTCAATTTCGAGGCCTCTGATCTATTGGCTCTTTGGTCCCGCCTTTAAACTGTCAATCAACTGGTGTACAGATTCCTGAGCCTACTGGGCTCTATCAAATCTGCATTTGAAACTGTGTATGGAGTCAGCCTCCACCACATCACTGCTTAATGCATTCCATTTGTTAACTACTCGGACACTGAAAAAAAGTCTTTCTAACGTCTCTGTGGCCCATCTGGGTACTCAGTTCCACCTGTGTCCCCTTGTTCGTGTTCCGCCCGTGCTAAAGAGTTTGTCTTTGTCCACCCTGTCAATTCCCCTGAGAATTTTGTAGGTGGTTATCATGTCTCCCCTTACTCTTCTATTTTACAAGGAAAACAATGTATGAAGCAGTTACATAGCCAAAAGTTCCTCATGCCGTTTGGCCTGAAATCATTGATTACAGGGCAATCACAGATAAAGTGTTTACCTGAATTTACCTGAGGGCCGGTCATCCTAATTGGGAACTGTTCGAATCATATATAACCATTTCGGATACCGGCGGTTCAGTACACAAAAATCCAGTTCGTTCACAAACAAGTTTATATACACGAACCCTTTTTGTTTACACATGTGCGCTGGCTGGAGTTCGCTGTTGTTCTCGTCTTCCAAGACAATTATTTTTTGACCAAAACGAGACAATAGAAGTTGATAAAAAGTTAAGAATATGAATAAATACATGGCATTTGATCATATAATTAGCGCATGTCTTCAGATAATATTTAGGTTGAGTTCTTTTAATTTATCTTTATACAATTAATGAATAAAATACGTTTTTGTCGTCCTAGCATCTATATATTATGATGATCACATCAACATATCTACACTGAGTGTAGATATGTTGGACCTGGTGGCTGAGTGGAGATATAAGGGGGCCTGGTGGCTGAGTGGAGATATATGGGGGCCTGGTGGCTGAGTGGACAGCGTTTGGGATTCGTAGTCCTAGGGACCAGGGATCGATCCCCGGCGATGGCGGAAACAAATAGGTAGAGTTTCTTTCACCCTGTTGCCCCTGTTTGCCTAGCAGTAAATAGGTACCTGGGTGTTAGACAGCTGTTATGGGCTGCTTCCTGGTGGCATGTGCGTGCATGGGGGAAAAAAATATTTGACAGTTGAGAGGCAGGCCGAAAGAGCCAGAGCTCAACCCCTGCAAGCATAACTAGGTGAATACACTAAAATCAGTGTGCATATACTGTATATTAAATGGAGGCTGACTTGTGTTTGGCGCACTGTTTGTGTTGCTGTGTTTGTTAACATACACACACATACATACATACATGAGTTCTTGCATTCTTGTACAGCCACTAGTCTGCAATGCATAGCTTTTCGGGCAGGTCCCTAATCCTAATTTTCCCATACATCCCTCTAACTCTCAGGCACCTATTTATTGCTAGGTGAACAGGGGCATCAGGGTGAATGAAACCCTGCCCATTTATTTCTGCTTCTGCTGGGGATCGAACCCAGACTATTAGGACTACGAACCCCGAGCGCTGTCCACTCAACGGTCAGACCCCCAAGCTGTATATAAGAATAAGAATGCTGTTGTTGTTTTAGATTCAGCTACTCGGAACACAAAGTTCCGAGTAGCACAGGCTATGGTGAGCCCATAGCGAATTTACATGGCACAGGAGCGGGGTCATAACTGGTAAGAATGAGAAGGTGCACGTTGTGTAGGTAGGATTATGATGGGTAGGGGCGGGAGTGGGTGATGTGTAAGTAGGATGGGTGGGGGTGGGAGTGGGTAATGTGGTGATGTGTAGATAGGATGGGTGGGGTGGAAGTGGGGGATGTGTAACTCGGATGGGTGGGGTGGGAGTGGGTAATGTGGTGATGTGTAGGTAGGATGGGTTGGGGTGGAAGTGGGTAAGGTGTAGGTATGGGTTGTGTGTGCCTTTATACTGTTCCCACTGCCACTCATAGGACAGTGAGAGGCAAGTGTAACTGGTGAGTGAGTAATAATGGGTTGTATTATTTGCAGTCTCCATGTGGGGACTGAGTGAGTGCTTTGGCCTGGGTTCGTATCCTGGCCAGGGGAGGATTGACTGGGTGCCAATCCTTAACTGTAGCCTCTGTTCACCCAGCAGTGAATGAGTACCTGGATGTTAAATAATTTGGCGGATCGCACTTTGAGAAAAATTAGGATTAAGGACCTGCCCGAAACACTGTGTGCTAGTGGCTTTACAAGAATGTAATAACTGGTATATATTCACAAAAAAACATCTTTTCATTTTCTTTACCTCCTTCAAGGTGTTGGAGAATATCATAGCTCTTGTTTACATAGTTTACAACTGGGGTAGTATCTACCATTGGGGGGTTCATTACCTGTAGTGAACAGTGCTTGAAAATAAAGAGTATTCAGAAGACCACCAAACACTAATATTTTCTTCTCCTACTACCCCTATTCTTTTTTTTCTTTTTTTAATAATTTTATTGCACTGCATTATGAGTTATAGAAAACACACACACACATATATAACAACCACCTGTCATAAATATTGATATACCAGCCTAATTCTGGGATTACAATTACAATGTCACACTGTTTATAGTGGACGTTTTGTGCTGTCTGTACATATAATTCTCAATTCTACACATATCATAACTGATTATACATATGCTTTTTGGCCTTCGAGTGTCATTGACTGCTCTTCTGACATTCCTAATTTCCTGATATACTGTTGGATTTACAAGAGATTGGAATGCCAATATAGATCTAACTCAATTTCAAGCTTATTATATGCAGTTTTAGCTGCATTGTTTGTGTCGTAAGCATTATATAAATTGACAGTACGAGTCCACTTAGTATTTTTCCTATTGGTGATTCAATCATGCTATGGCGATAAAAGTTTATTAATAAACTGAATTATTATTAACTTTAATTATAAATTATATAAATTTGAAGGTAGTAATAATGGCACTAAACAAAGGGAAAGTTTTACCCTGCGTAAAATAGCTTGATAACATTAACGTTGTAAGTTAACAATGCACTGTTTTCAAACAAAATTTTGCACCCTTTTGCCAGTTAAATTGTGGGCAAGTTTTTGTTTACAGAAGGATTCAAGATCACCATGTTGAAACAGTTGCATGTTTCACGAAAAAAAAAAAGTTCTCCGACTTACATAACAAAGTAATAACTGAACCAATTGATAGTGTATGTCAAGTTCCTGCAAGATCCTTACCCCCCAAAATTACCCTCATTTGATCTTTACAACCTCAAATCCAGTAACTCTTGCATTCTATACATCAAAAAATCCCTCCTCCATGAATTTCTTTGAGAAAAATAAACCGAGGGACAACAGTATCATGGAGTGAGGATTTATGTGGACAACTCGATCCACAATATATATATTAATCTATATGCTACAGAGCTCAAAGTACCTCATTTAATTCCCCAGTTCAATTATATTGATCTTCCATGCCGTGCTCAAGCAGAGCCTACCATCATTTTGGTGACTACAATGTCAGACACAAGGACATTTGTGGCTCCCGCTTTAGTAACAGGAATGGGAATCAACTGCTGTCGCTACTAAATAGTCATGATAATGTACAGATTGTGGGCGACTTTGAAAACACGCAGATTTCTGGAAGCATTCTAGACCTCTTGTGTTGGTTTCAACATCTCTCATGCCTGATGCACATCTATATTGTAACAGATTTGTTATCAGATCATAACCCTAGAACGACTATCATCCTGCCCGGTGGGACTTTTAAATGCAAGTGGCTCAGTGTTTCTTCCGCTCGACAGGAGGAAGACTTTCGTCTGCTCACATGTCAGAGTAATATAGCACTTATGATCCCTCCACAGTCCAGACATTTAATAACGATCTAGTACATAAGAATCAGATATTCGTTAACCCTTTAGGTTGGCCCCCATACTGTCCGATAGCCAGAACTTGATGAAAACTAATAAACACCATGCCTGTTACAATGACCCCCAAACTGCATACTTTGAAACGCACTGCCAGAAGAGTTGGAATTTTACAGAACTTAGGCAAGAAAACTGGGAGTCTAAACTCTCACACCCCTCTCAATCAGGCATGGATGGGTATTAAAAGAACCAAAGACAATAAGATCAGCTATTAATTGTCATACCCTGTCTTATTCAAATAAGACAGGCACTTTTATAGATTTGCAGACACCATAATATTAGACTCTTGATGCATATTATGTAAAAGTTGTAATAAAAATACTGTATGTAAAATTTTATTTACATTTTATTAAACAGACCAAAGTTAAAACAATTACAGTTTACTCCTTCTTGAGCTGGCCAAACACTGCTGATGGTACTTCTCGTTGCTGAGGAAGGTCTGAAAAATTTAGAGAATTAAGAAAGAATCTTATAATCTGCCATATTTTACCTTTTTCAGCAAGATCATATATATCTGAATCTGTAACAATTATGTAACATTTCACACAGAAATCTTTTAATAATCATCCTAGTTTGTCATTTGTATATCTTAATGCTATTGTATTACAATTGGTACATTATCTCAACACTTTCCCACACACGGCAGAAGCTTGTGTAACTTTCCCCTTGTGTGACTAGCGTTTCGGGAGACCGCGCGGCGACACTTAAATGTTTATAATCTTTTCAGTCTGCTCACTTTAATTTTCCCATGTATGTATTTAATTTTGGTATCAATTTGTTCACAAGAGAATACTCTAGAGGAATATATATATAAAATTTAACTAAAGCCGATGTTAGACCCGCACCAAATAAAAAACTATGGCAATCGTTAGCCGTGAGTACCAAACAACGATGAAATGTTTATGCTCTTTTCAGGTTTGTCAACCCCAGAATTGTTCTACATCGTTAATTTTGGTATCATTGTGATCGCAATAAAATTCTCTACACAGACATATGAATATAAAGTACAAAACATGGGCACACCCCACCCGCAAGACCATGGGAAGATGCCCAAGGGTTACCTGTTACTGCACGCCCAACTGCTATCAGCTACACTCTACTGAAAAGTTCATACTCTGCTCATGTTTTTGACCTTAATTTTCGATGTACGTGTTTCATTTTCATATCGATGTGTTCTCAATGAAATGTTCTAGAGGAACATATGTATAACATGTCACCAAAGCTAACGTGATGCCGGCACCAAATAAAAAACTAAGTCGTTTGTTAGCGTGCACGCCAAACAGCGTGAACATGTTGCTACTCTTTTCAGATTTATCAAATCCAAACTTGTTCGACATCGTTCTTTTTTGTACCACGTGTGATTGCAATAAAATTTCCTACACAGACATGTTACGAACCCGGATCCAGCGTCCGTGCCTGGAGCAGTGACAAACACGCCATCTGTGGGTCAGCTCCCGAAACCCCCGCCAAACGAACGACGACACCTAGTGAGGACAGCGTGTACTGGCCTCGAGGACCAGTTTCCAGTCTGGTTCAGCACTCAACACCGCCGCTCCTGACCTCTGGTGAGGTGGTGCTCCGACGACAGCGCCATCTATGGAGTGGATATGTCGGGCGTTTGTATCTGAGCCTGTGAGTGTGGTGTATTAGTGTCCCAGTTATTGATGACGTGTCTGTTTACAGAGCCGACCTGGGACCACTGTGTTGAAGGTGTAGTCAGTCTACCCGAGGCAGCCAGTCTCCATACTGTGAAGTTTGCTGCAGCTGTTGTGACGTCGTCCCCCCGGAAGAACACTGTGGTGTGTTAAGCCTGCCAGTGGAGTGGCAGTGGAAGGATTTACCCGGGACCGACGGTTGGAGACGATAATCCACTGGGGTATTGAGGACAGGAGGGTGATTGGTGATATCACACGAGACTCCTGTCTAGGGCGTACCCCTTTTATCGTTCGTGGAGTGGCCGTACCAGCCTTGGTGGCTCAGTACCTGCCAGCAGACCTGCTGGACGTGTGGTTGACGGCCTCCACGACGGTGCCCCCAGTGGACCTGTGTTGTGGCTGACCTGTGGCCAGGTTAGGCTCGGCGTTCTCAGAGGACACGTCTTGAGGCCACGAAGAAAGCACCGCGGACTCAGCACCTAGCTTCGAGGATCCATAGTCTCCAGCAGAAGACTACAGTGTTGATCCCCTTTGTAAAGTGTTAATACCCTTCCCCCTTGTGTACGTTTTACTTTTATATATTTAAATGGTGAAGGTTATATTATATTATATTAAGTTCTTACCTTTCTTTCCCTACTCCCTTTAAGTTACTTGCGTCACGGATCGCATCCCTTGATAGCCTCTACTGGCTTGGGGCCGGATATATATCTTCCTCTAACTACATCAGAGTAAGAACCCCGTTGCGTCCCGAGAGGGCCGTAACATAATTGGCATCCCCAGCGGGATCCGTCCCCTTGTTAAGTATGTTTGACAGGGGTGGTGAAGTGGCGTAATCCCTGTATATAATTCCCCCTGTGTGACGATTGTGACGTTATACGTCCTGTGCGGTGCTCAGTGACTAAGTGCGATATTGTGCAGTGCGGTGCTCGCTGTGATTAAGCGATTAAGTGCAATATTGACTAGTGCGGTGCTCAGTGATTCAGTGCAATATTGTAGAGCGAAGTGTTCGCTTGGACTCAGTGCAATATTGGGTAGTGTGGTGCCCGAAGTGATTACGTGCAATATTGGCAAGTGCAGTGTTTGGTGCGATAAAGTGCAATATTGGCGTAGAACAGTACTCGGTGTGTTAAGTGCTAACGTGTAAGCGGTGTGTTAAGTGCTAGTTGAGTGTTCCATCTGTGACAATGGCAGAAAAAGCTACCATCGATGATCTGGACGATGTTCAGGCTTTTCTGAATAGAGTGGACTGTCTTGCCAGATTAAAGTATCTGAGCAAACCGGAACTTGTACTAGTGAGCGCCTACCTGGAGATCAAGATCCGTGCCAGTGATTCCCGTGTGGAGATCTTGTCCAAGGTTCACCGGCACCTGAAGGCAGAAGAGAAACAGGAAGGCGAGACTCCTAGTACAAGGGAAGGTGAGGAAATAGCTTCCACAGAAAAGGAAGATAAGGGCAGTGACATTGACAGTGATGCAGGTGAGCTTAATATCAGCTTCCTAACAGTCAAAATGCGTGCCTTGGAAATTAATCGAGAAATAGAGTGGAAGAAATTAGAAATGGAAAGAGAAAGACAAGATAAAGAATTGGCGATGAGGCGTTTAGAATTAGAACGAGAAAGAGAGAGAGAAGAACGAGAAAGAGAGAGAGAAGAAAGAGAAAGAGAGAGAGAAGAACGAGAAAGAGAAGAAAAAGAAAGACAGAGACAACATGAACTAGAAGTTTTACGACTAGGCGCTGGACAGAGACAAACTGGAGTAAGCGGTTTCGATCCGGTAAGAAATATCAAGATGGTCCCCAAATTCAATGAGAGGGAAGTCTCGAAGTTCTTCGCAGCCTTCGAGAAAGTCGCTGCCTCTTTGGAGTGGCCAAGGGAGAATTGGGCCATCATGATACAGTCAGTCTTGACTGGGAAGGCCCAAATTGCCTACTCTACGTTATCCCTTGACGACTCCGGCGATTACGATATGGTGAAGAAAGTGGTGCTCATGGCGTACCAATTGGTACCTGAGGCATATAGGCAAAAGTTCCGAAACCTGAAGAAGACCTCAGAGCACACTTTCACCGAATTCGCCACCATCAAGGAGCGACTTTTTCAAGAATGGTGTGCCTCTCGGAAGGTGGAGACCAAGGAAGACCTCGAGCAGCTGATTCTGCTCGAGGACTTCAAGGATTGTTTGTCTGGAGACCTCAAGACGTACTTGGAGGAACAGCAGGTAGAGACCTTGAGTGCAGCAGCCACCATGGCTGAAGAGTATATCCTGACTCATAGGCCGTCTGCTAAGTACGTCCCGAGGAATTACCAGCGCCGGTTTGACAGACCTCATGAAGAAGAAGAAAGACCCGTCCCACAAAGTGCTAAGAAGACGCCCCCAAGTAGCCCCCGAAGAACAAGTCCCAGTAGTCCGAAACACCGTAGTCCAAGGAGGAATATGGTGTGCTGGACTTGTGGGCAGAAAGGGCACATAGCTGCTAGGTGCCGAGGTAGAAGAGGTGGCAGCGCACGAAGGGAGGTGATGTTGGTGAGCTGTGTTACATCACCAGTAGGAAACCAGTCTACGACGACGCAGGAAGGACCAAGTTTGTTGGCCCCTCACACTTCAACCGGGTATGTAACGAGTGATCATACTGGTAGATCAATTGTAGTGCTCAGAGATAGTGGAGCAGCCCAGTCCCTGATCGTGAAGAGCTCGTTACCCGAGGGAGTAAGCGTGGATGGGAGACCAGAGGTGATCCTGGTTGGGTTTCCTAGGACGCAGTACATCGCCCCCTTAGTGCCAGTACATCTTGATTCGCCTTATTTCAGCGGCACATGTGAGTTGGCAGTAGTCGATACCCTCCCTGTGGCTGGGATTGACGTGGTACTAGCCAACGACTTGGTGACCGATTGGAGCATCAATCTTCCCAAGATTGTGGACGAGTCTACCAGAACAGCAAGGTCGGAGGTGTCTACAGGCAATGGTAATGTCCAGGTAAAGACAGACCCGGATGTAACTATGTTTAATTTGTCCTCTCGCCTACAGATTGAGAGCGTTCTAGCAGTGTCTCCTGATTCTCTCGACAAGGAACATGAAGTTAAGAAGGCAGAGGTACCTGAGCACGAAGAGAGGCCTTGTGTGCAGGCACCCACAGATACCAACGAGTCTGGAGCGAAGGCGGATGTGTACTTGCGGTATGGCAAGGTACAGCGTGTATTGAACCAGCCAGAGATTCCCCAGACTTCAGAGGTATGTGAGGTGTGTTCAAAAGGTCTAGTGCCCTCTTCGGTCCAAGCCAGGCTAGTGGATGTTGCCGGCTATGGACATGACTGGCTCGGGAAGCATATCCCTCAATTGACCCCATGTTTCTTAGCAGTATTTTGTTTTGTTCTCGCATGTGTTCTCCTATGTGTTCTCAGTAAGGACCGGTGGACGACCCGACGAATGATGGCTCCCATGAACATCGCGAAAAGGTCCCAGGGATTGGAGATTTGTACTGCAAGTGTTGCAGTTGAAGAAGGGACCTGGGAGGTAATAGATGATACAGGAGGTACGATAGATGATAAAATGAGTGACTGTTTCCGACAGGTTGACACCCCTCGCGTGATAGCTGAGCCTCAATGCAGCATTATGCGGAACGTTGGTCGACCTGACGGTGGCAGAGTGAATGCCATCTGCGACGTACAAGCAGCCCTGTTGGAACTAGGTGTGAGCCTAGTAGAGGCGTATGCAGTAAGTATCGACTTATCCCCTGTCGCTATCACTCTGAATTATCAGACCCCTGTATTCCAGGTTCCTGTCTCCCTGAAGGACCATCGGACCGGTACCAGAAATGCCGTCTGTGATCAGCCGTCATCGGTGCCTCGACGCAGAGAAGTGTCGAGTCACCCCAGATCGTGTCTACACGGATCCTTACTAGAGAGGTGTGAAATGATGCCCCTGCTTGACATCGCAGTGGAGATGTGGGAGACGTGGAAGATTACGTCAGGCAGATCATTGCCTTCTATCTGCAAGTTCCCTTTGTGCCAGGGTTCCTCAGAAAAGTTCTGTGGACAAGACAACCTCATCACTCCAGTTCATAGTATAAGTAAGTCCATTTGGAGTTGTGTCGCCCTGCTAATTTGGTTTGTGTTTTTTATAGAACCCCAAACCAAATTCTTTTTGGTGGGGAGGTGTTACGAACCCGGATCCAGCGTCCGTGCCTGGAGCAGTGACAAACACGCCATCTGTGGGTCAGCTCCCGAAACCCCCGCCAAACGAACGACGACACCTAGTGAGGACAGCGTGTACTGGCCTCGAGGACCAGTTTCCAGTCTGGTTCAGCACTCAACACCGCCGCTCCTGACCTCTGGTGAGGTGGTGCTTCGACGACAGCGCCATCTATGGAGTGGATATGTCGGGCGTTTGTATCTGAGCCTGTGAGTGTGGTGTATTAGTGTCCCAGTTATTGATGACGTGTCTGTTTACAGAGCCGACCTGGGACCACTGTGTTGAAGGTGTAGTCAGTCTACCCGAGGCAGCCAGTCTCCATACTGTGAAGTTTGCTGCAGCTGTTGTGACGTCGTCCCCCCGGAAGAACACTGTGGTGTGTTAAGCCTGCCAGTGGAGTGGCAGTGGAAGGATTTACCCGGGACCGACGGTTGGAGACGATAATCCACTGGGGTATTGAGGACAGGAGGGTGATTGGTGATATCACACGAGACTCCTGTCTAGGGCGTACCCCTTTTATCGTTCGTGGAGTGGCCGTACCAGCCTTGGTGGCTCAGTACCTGCCAGCAGACCTGCTGGACGTGTGGTTGACGGCCTCCACGACGGTGCCCCCAGTGGACCTGTGTTGTGGCTGACCTGTGGCCAGGTTAGGCTCGGCGTTCTCAGAGGACACGTCTTGAGGCCACGAAGAAAGCACCGCGGACTCAGCACCTAGCTTCGAGGATCCATAGTCTCCAGCAGAAGACTACAGTGTTGATCCCCTTTGTAAAGTGTTAATACCCTTCCCCCTTGTGTACGTTTTACTTTTATATATTTAAATGGTGAAGGTTATATTATATTATATTAAGTTCTTACCTTTCTTTCCCTACTCCCTTTAAGTTACTTGCGTCACGGATCGCATCCCTTGATAGCCTCTACTGGCTTGGGGCCGGATATATATCTTCCTCTAACTACATCAGAGTAAGAACCCCGTTGCGTCCCGAGAGGGCCGTAACAAGACATATGCCTATAAATTAGACAACATGGGTCGCATAACCCGCAATGACCCCTAAAGTTGCCAAAGCCTTACCTACTAGAGCACACTCATTGCCACACCCGCTACACCCAATACACCAGACAAACACATACAGTTTGCTAACAGAAGTTTTTGTGCAACATTGTTCATTGTGGTATCAAATTATTCGCAATAAAATGCTCTAAATAGACAGACAAATATAAACAATAACAACCTCAATATATATAAGCAATACCAATAACAAAATATAAAGCAAATGAAGACGAATCAAGCCCATGACTGTCACCACTGTTGTTTTACCAATTCCGGAATACACCTCGAAGTCATATATGTAGCCAGAGTTTATTTCCTTAAAACACAAAAGTCGAATGGCAATCACTATGGTATATTGTTTAATATGTTGACACACACTTTATGAGATATCTGACTGTGTTTAGTTCCTGTATCACTGAAATATCCCTAGATATATATTGTTTTTCACAGAGCTCATGCTCACGTGTGCTTCCCCTCCACACCCCAAACAACAACAGAAAGTGCATTTCAGTAATGCAAATTGAAGGGAGCAACTGAAAGGTGTCAACCAAGTATTAGTATTATTATTATAAGATTACTTTCATAAGAAACTCACCATCATCATCATCATCGTCATCATCATCATCATCATTATCATCCTCATCATCTAAGTCAATTTCATCTGGGTTTGCAGTACGAGCTGTATCAGCAACCTCGTCGTCCCTTTTGGTAGTTGTGCCTCGTACAAATAATATTTTGGAGCCACCTGTAATAAGAAAAATTTAATATTTAACTATAGTTTTTTAAATAACACTAATGCAAGAAGTAAGTACAGTACTGTAATGCCTAAGTCTTATTAATGTTTAGCCACAAGACTAAATTACCCAATGACAGAAGAAGAAAAATTTAAAGCAAGGGTTATGAACAGGATAAAGATAAGATATAGAAGGATGTTCCTTATCTAGATCTGACACATGCCTGTTCAGTTATGACATACTGTACTTTATACTTTCTTTCTGTACTACATACTTTCGTCTTCTTCCCCAAACGCTGCGCGTACTAGTGGCTTTACAAGATTGTAATTACTATATTATGTATCCTCACAATCCCAATGTACCTTCTTGTATATATATATATATAAATAAATATATAAATAAATATGTAAAGTGCTCGTAGACCATTGCTCCCTGCACCTCTCTGAGGGATCCAGGTTTTGACTCGTGGTTCCCTAGAAGGCATAAGAACTCGTGATTGATGACCCCAAACTAATATAGCACATATCAGTTCGAATAGCTTCAGGGAGCTGACGGGGCTATTTTACCTTAAGATTACTTTGAGGTGTTTTTAGGGCTTAGCGTCCCCGTGGCCTGATCGTTGACCAGGTCTCCTGGTTTCCCACATAAAAGGCCTAAATTTCTAGATACAGTACTGTACTGCATAGTATTAGTCAAGAATTTTTTTGAAAACCTTTCTTCATCTTTGAAGTTATAAATATTAATGCCTTGAATTTGTTTGACAGGAAGCTGCATATTATGAAAATTTTAAGTGAAGAACTATATCAAAGAAAGTTTAAAACAAAGTCCTGGAACAAACCAAAAATGTGATACTGCATATCTTTAAGTCTACAATACTTATATTATATGTATGTGAATTTGTAGATGTATTTAGAAGGGTACCTGCAGGTGGAGCATGTGATGGTGGAGGATTTTGTTCCTCTAACTGGTTCATGGCTACAGCACGAGCCTCTAACATGCGCATGCCATCCTTAGCACCTGGGGCAAGATCAGAAACAGTGCCTGCAACTGTGTCTGCAGATGCTAACATTTGTGCAGACATCATGTTCACCTAGAAAACAAGTGGAATGCCTGCATTAGTAAGTCTGTAAAGAATTTTCAAAAGCTGTATATTTCAAATATACAGCTAAATTTCTTCTGTTGGCAAAGTCAGTTGATATCTCTAAAAGGTTATAACTGTATTCAAACCTGGGTGTTGTATTTAGCTTGCATAGATCTCTTGATGCGAAGTAGCTCCTTCATAGTATCTTCATTGCCATGAGCAACTTCAAAATCAGTCCACTTGGCCCAGAATTCTGCAGTGATACGTGGGTCACATATATGACTGCAGTAGGCATAAATTTCCCGAGCACGGTCAATTTCACCCAGCTTTCTTTCCATTTCAGCAAAACGTAAGCACATTTCACGGGCACCTTCATCAGGAAGGTCATCAATTGCTTCCTATGGACAGGAAAAAAGTATATTACATGTTATTTAGCAAAATCTTATACTTTTAACTTGCGAATTGTACAATACAGAATCAATCAAATCATATCAAAATACTGTACTAGTTTAGAATCTGTCAGTACTTAAGTGTATACAGTGAAGGCAGATTTGAACAAATATATCTCTACAGTTTCAACTAAACTTAAGTATACAAGGTCCCTTATAGGAAAAATATGCTCACAAGCAAATTATTAAAAAATCTGAAAGAATTTAAGCTCATCAATGCCAATCCTACAAATACTGATAAATTTAACAAAGCTTTGCGATAGAAAAAGATAACTTAATATGAAAATTACCCACAAAATGCTGGATTCATTCCTTAGACACAGTTGGTAGAGATCAATTAACAATTATGTTACATGGGTAAAACAGATAACAGAATATCTAATGACTCCTGGCAGTTTTCTGCCAGAAAGAGGACTACTCTTCTGCCGTAACTTCCACCTGGATAACAAAGTAGAACGTGCTCTCACAACCCTTTACACCCTCCAGCACATACAATCCACCATGGAATCATCATCATACTTTAGATGAATCATCATGACATAGAAACTGAAGAGGAAAGAAGGGAAGGGAACTATCAGGAGAAAGTACCAAGCCATTTTGACTATATAGCACTTGGAAGGGATCAGGATAAGGATTTGGGATGAGACGGGGGGGAAAGGAATGGTGCCCAACCACTTGGACTGTCGAGGATTGAACGCCGACCTGCATGAAGCGAGACCATCGCTCTGCCGCCCAGCCCAAGTAGTTGGGTGAAGAGGAAAGAGAATAACCTAATCTTGTTCTACTGCTACACTGTTTGCTGCAACTAATTATATTAAGGACAATTGCTGTCTCTACCACAGCTATTATTTATACTACCAGAAAAGGCAATTGTGCACAGTGCATTATACAGCAACCAGCGAGATGAATATTTAGGTTCAATTAACATAGTTTCAAAAATATCTATTCAGGTGTTTCTTAAGTATCTGGCATGAATTAACACCTATGACATCAGAGAGCTATTTGCATATCCAATAGTTCTTGGTTGCATTCTTCAATATTTTGAAGACTTGAATCAGGTCACTCCATACTCTTCACTTCATTAGGGAACTAAACTTCATTAGGAAGGTTAGTTCAATTTTTTTCAGAGTTTACTTTCTGAATGTGCTATTAGTTTAATTGCTCTTAATATTATGCACTCAAGCTTGTCTTGACATTCATATTTTTTGTAATGTTAAGGTCTCAGAGTAACTTACTTAAAGTGACTGTCAGGAGGTCACGCAAGAGAGTGAGACTGATGAAAGCAAAGGATGATCTGTCATGTTATATGATTAAAACTTTAACTTATGATCAGGACATATGAGATCACAACCTATCTTGTTGCCCATATAGTAAATACATACATGTAATTAATGAAGTGGACTCTGGCAAGAAACAAAGAATAAAGTAAAGATAAAAAGAAATGGCAAGTGAAGTAGTACTTTTTATCAAGGAAATGACCAAGATTGCTCAATAACAAGCTGAAAATTCTAAAATATCTATCTTTGACATTTTATTTGTATGTAAACAAAATATAAACTAATGATAACAATGACAAAGAGGCTCAAATATCTGGCAAAATGTATTGTATGCAAGTGTTATGGATAGATATAACTATCAACATCACTCAAAAGTTGCTGAACATTACTCACCTGATAAATTTCTCTTGTTCTTGTTACACCATAAATCTGCTGAGCATGTTGGAGGTATATGTTGTATATAGCCAATTTCTCTTCAGGTGGTACTGCTTTGGTTGCACGGCTATATACCTGCATGGCATGTCTTGCCAGCCCATGCTCTTCCTCCATCTTGGCATATAAGAGGTATAGGTTTCTAGCATAGCTTGGAGGACATTTCTCTAGACACTGCACGAGATAATAAAAACAAATTTCAACTAAATTTCCTTTCAAAGACACCTATGCCAAATAAATAATTTTACATATAAAAGCAAATTTAAGTTTTAGGAAGAAAGCTGTAAATGTACATACATAAGTTTTTAAAGAAATCTCTCTTTTGAAGTTTAATGCAACTATTTAACTCTATGCAAATGGGAATGGAATAAATTAGTGTGGTACAACAGCTTTAAATTAAGATAAACATGATTAAACTTTCTTAAAGTTTAATACTTCAGTAAATAGTGAATTAAAAATGCTTCTCACCTGTTCAAACAGATCTCTTGCACGCTCTATCTTAGTTCCCGTATAACGTTCAAGGAACTTGGTGAGGTAAGTGTTCCAAATATCATACACATATGGCCATTTGAACAAGGAGATGCCTTTTTCATATGCTTTAAATGCTTCTTCAAAGTAGTTGTTTTCCTAGAAAATAAATGCCCAAAATCATTTTAGTGAATGAGTAAGTACAAACAATAACGTATGCTGAACAAATCATGAAGACTTCATGTATGACCCAGGGAAAGTACAGTAGATGTCAAATAGTACAGTACATTTCAAATACTGAGGAGTGAAATGATTTTTTTTAAACACAGTGGACCCTCGATTCAGCAAACCTTGGTTCAGCGAATCTCCAGTTAGGACGTAAACTTTCCAGACGGGATTTACTCACCCGATTCGACCAACTCTTGTTGGCTGAATTGGGGCATGTGCGGATTTGCTTACAATGTTGGGACAGTTCACTGAGTGGTGGAAAACTTGCCGATCATATTATGGGTTAAAATGTAAAGATTTTCCTTAATGAAATCAGCCCATAGAGCATGGGAAATATTAGAGTATTAACAGTAAATCTGTTAATATGGCTTCAATCATGTTTTTAATGATTTTTGTAGATGGGTATAACATTAGAAGAAAGAGTTGGGGTTAAATGTGCTTAACCCTTAAACTGTGCAAGGCGTATATATACGCTGTGAGTAACATGTCCCACCGAGCTCATGGCGCATATATACGCCATAGGGTGCCAGGCACAATTCAAATGGCCCGCGGCTACACGGGGTTCACATCAGCTTCCTCAGGGCTCTTGTAAACAGACGCCATGTTTAAAAAAAATTGTGGGCAATATTCTCCGGTGTGAGAGTCACAGTACCGTGGGAGCAACCAATCTTACACACGCAGCATGAGCTAACAGCATTGCTGTTCAGCTTGTGACCACAGCATCGCCTAAAAATGTCAAAATAAATCTGTAACTATTATTTAGCGATGACAGTATTACAGATGACCCCTGACTATGATAAAAATGACCAGGATTGTGATAATAGCAGGATTGTTGTGATAATTAGCACTGTGTGGGAGGAGTAATGCTGAGGGAGGGAAATTACTGACTGTGTGGCCACCAGTTATTGTCTGCATTTACCATACCAGTGGTTCTCTATGGTGAACACAAATGTAGATACTTATACATAATGTGTGTATTAGTGTAATAACAGCAAAAGGATTATGTTGGGAGGAGCTATTTGGGTGACGGTGCCGATGTCGTCTGCATAATTTGTCTAGCTGTGTAGAGGGTGGCCACTATGCTCTTTGGGCACCCTACAAGCTTAGGTGTACAGTTACGGTGCATACAACATGTAGATACTTATATATAATGTGTATATATAGTGTAATAACACCCCAAACAGTATTGTTAGGGGAGAAATTTTAGTGTGCCTGACCTTGAATGAGTGAGGGAGGCAGCCACCAGCTGACTGTGTGTGTAGTGATGTCTCTTAGTGCCTGCACTAACTATATCAGCTTATTTGTACAGTTATGGTGAACAAAACATGTAGATACTTATATATACTGTGTGTATATAGTGCTAAACTATTTGTTTATTGTTTTATGAACGTAATAATTGAATCACTAATATGAACACCATACTTTTGAGTATAGCGATGATTCACACATTTTATTATATAAATCTATTATCACATTACACACAATTGAATAATATTATGGCAAAAAAATAGGGTAAAATCAATTAGACACATTGAAATAATTAGGTGATAATATCTTTGTGGCAACTTCCACTTGTCAGCTCGAGTGACGCTGACCGCCTCTGACGACCGCTCTGTCAATGCCCACATTTTGCCAGACTTCCTCGACCTATTGTGCCTAAAATATGTCACCTATGATTTTTTTATTATTTTTCCCATGCTCAGGGAACACAAATTAACATTTTTAGAAGACAAAATAATTTAATTGTTTTTTCTTGTGCACAGGGGTGTAAATCTCCTCAGGACCCCTTAGCAGCTTAAGGGTTAATGGCCTTGGGAAAGCCATTAACACTTTCGCGCTCCGTGGAAACTCGCGGTTGACAGGGGGAACGTGGCCCCTCTGTGCGGGTAAGCGCGCGGTGACACCCAAATGTGTATACTCGTTCCAGCTTTCTCACCTTAATTCTCGTGCTACGTCGCTCGTTTTGGTATCATTGTGTTCGCAATTAAATTCTCTACAGGTGTGTATAAATATAATGTCCAAAAGCCTAGCGTGACTCCCAACAGCAAAGCGTAAAGTCGGCAAAAACGCACAAAATCAGTAACATGTGCATTCTCGTTCCATTTTTTTACCTTAATTCTCGTGCTACGTTGCTCATTTTGGTATCATTGTGTTCGCAATTAAATTCCCTACAGATGTGTATGAATAAAATGTACAAAAGGCTGGAGTGCCTCCCCGCAGAAAAGCCTAAAGTTACCTGTGAACGAGCACCATTTTGTACATTGCAACCTAATGTTCAACTCGTTCAATTTGATAACATCAAATTTCGAGCTACGTCGCTCGTTTTGGTATCAAATTGTTCGCAATAAAAAGGTGAGTATTTTAAAACTAGTCCCAAAATAATAGAGCAATAACTGGATTTTTAACAAATATTTTAATTCTGGATGCTCATCATCACAAATTTATTTATAACTTTCCAGTGTTCTGACATAAATATTCGTGTTACATCTTTCATTTTGGTATCAAATTGTTCGCAATAGAAAGGCGCGCATTTTAAAACTAGTCCCAAGATAATAGGACAATAAATAGAATTTTAACAAATATTTTAATATTTGGACCATAGGCCTAAGAACATAAGAACATAAGAACAAAGGCAACTGCAGAAGGCCTATTGGCCCATACGAGGCAGCTCCTATTCTATAACCACCCAATCCCACTCATATACTTGTCCAACCCGTGCTTGAAACAATCGAGGGACCCCACCTCCACAATGTTACGCGGCAATTGGTTCCACAAATCAACAACCCTGTTACTGAACCAGTATTTACCCAAGTCTTTCCTAAATCTAAACTTATCCAATTTATACCCATTGTTTCGTGTTCTGTCCGAACAGAACATTGTTTCGTGTTCTGGCCTATTTATAATATTTCAAGTGTTTGGACATCAAGTTTCATGTTATATCTTTGATTTTGGTATCAAATTGTGTGCAATCTAAAGGCGCTTATTTTAAAACCACTACCAGATTGATCTGATAAAATTTAAATTTTTAAAAAATATTTTAATGAGTGACTCAGTACTGCGTCGTTGGAACACATTCAGTAGAAAAATGAGTGACGAGATAGTCAGTCTGTGGAACCTCAAAGTGTTAAGCACATTTAAAACCAAATTCTATGGTTCATTTTCATTTTGAGATTTCCCAATTTTCATTCACTAATATAGGCCTCCTGGAGCAATATCCAGTTGCAACGAATTGGGATGGCCCCATATAGTTCGTTGAATTGAGGGTGCAATGCAATTTATTTATTAAAAGGGATATTTGAGATATGAATACATTACACAATTATATGGCAGAAAAATATTCAACATCTAGTTAGGAAAGTAATTTGTTACACATACAGGTATAATGAACAGAATATGATTGAAATTAATTTTCAGAGACAGTTTTGCAAAAGTATACATGATAAAATTTGAGAACTAGTAGAGACATGCACACAGAACACTCGCTAAAGGAGTTACAAACCTGCAGAAACATTCCATAATTTATAATAATTTGTGGAGTAGCAATCCGCAAGTCAATAATTCTATCATACACAGCCTTGCAGGATTTAAAGGTACCAAGACATTCCTCCAAGTCAGCATACATTGACCACAGCTTAAGGGACTTGTATACTCGCCGCTGAACGGGTTCTGACTCATCATTATATGCAACTTTGTGAGGTGGTGGTGCTGTGGCTCTTTTCATAAGCTTTAGAGCTTCTTCTTCATTGCTGAAATTAAAATATAAAACACGAAATCAATAAAATAAAAATGGATAAATTAAAAGTAAACAGAACATCAGTGAAAAAAACAAGAGGAGAGGCAACATCATAATGTTGCCTCTCAATAATATAATAGTAGATGGAGGAGAGGATGTAGTCCTCCACCCAGGGAATGGTCTCAACTCCTCCCTCCTCCTCCTCCTCCCCATACACCAACACCACATCTCCCTCCCACCTCACCGTCTCCTATACATCAACAAGAGTCCTCAGTACAGGTAAATTGCAGTTAAATGTTCACTTATTTTATTTATGGTTTATATTTATACTGTACCTGATTGTTTTTTGTATGAAAAGTATGAGTAGTATTCTGTATAAAATGAATTTTTAAGTAAATATTTTTGGGTGTGTGGAACAGATTAATTCAATTTACATTATTTCTTATGGGAAAATTTGTTTCGGTTTTTGAACCGTCTCTGGGAACAGATTAAATTTGAAAATAGAGGTACCACTGTGTGTGTATGTATGTATGTATGTGTGTGTGTGTGTGTGTGTGTGTGTGTGTGTGTGTGTGTATGTATGTGTGTATGTGTGTGTGTGTGTGTGTGTGTGTGTGTGTGTGTGTGTGTGTGTGTGTGTGTGTATACACATACACACACACACACACACACACACACACACACACACACACACACACACACACACACACACACACACACACACACACACACACACACGATGAGGATGAGAAAGGGTGGTCGTTAAGACGAGATCTTTCAAAAGAAGATAGAGAGAAGCTGAAACTGAACCTCGCCGAGGCAAAACGTTTAAATGAGAGCAGGAATGAAGAAGAAATAAATTCTTTTTTCTACAAAGTGATAGGGGTAGGCAAACCAGTAAAGTGGTACATAAAGGCAAACCAGCAAAATCAATAGAGAGAGGGGGAGTGAAGAATAAGGAGAGGGGGAACAAGTTCCTGAAGATTGCATACACCAACATAGATGGAGTGAGATCGAAGATACTGGAGTTAAGTGATGTAATACAGCTGCAGACACCAGACATTGTTGCACTCACGGAGACAAAACTTGAAGATGTAATTTTAAATGAGGTCATATTCCCAAGGGGCTACTCAATTTGGAGACGGGACAGAAAAATTAGGAAAGGCGGTGGCGTTGCTGTGCTGGTAAAAGAACACCTAAAGGTGAGGGAAATAATGACTGCCAATCCACAAGAAGTTGACATAATAGCACTAGAGATCTGCCATGAGGATGATAAACTAATGATAATAAATGCATATAGTCCACCGCCAAGCAGCACATGGTCAAAGGAGGAGCTAGATAGTAAACGTGAAAGTCTTATAACAATAATGAGAGAGATTATAGCGAGAGCGGATACCGATAGATCACGACTGTTGATAGTCGGTGACTTCAATTTGAAATCCATAGACTGGGAAGCATATGAAGCTAAAACATTAGATTTTTGGACCTGTAAATTTGTAGACCTCATCCTGGAAACATTCTTGTATCAACATGTTAAACAAGCTACGAGGATGAGGGAAGGGGACGTTCCCTCTATGCTAGATTTGATATTTACCAGGAAGGAGGAAGAGATATTTGACATTCAGTACCTTCCTCCCTTGGGTAAAAGTGACCATGTCTTTTTGGGAATAAAGTATGCAATGCGTTATAAGCTGGAAGAAAATAAGGAGGTTGAAGCAGTTGAAAAACCAGACTTCAGGAGAGGACATTATGGTGACCTTAGAAATTTTTTTAGTGAGTATAATTGGACAGACTTGATGCTAGGCAAGGAAGTGAATGAGATGAATGTCAAGTTTTGTGAAATATATGATAAAGGCACAAAAAAATTTATACCAAAACAGAGATGCAGAACTAGGAAACAGGATTGGTTCAATAAAAATTGCGAGAGGGCTAGAGACCAAAAGACACAAAAATGAAATCAATACAGGAAGAGGCCGAACCCTCAAACATACCAGCGATACAAAGATGTGAGAAACAACTACACGGCAGTGAGGAGAGAGGGAGAAAGAAATTTTGAAAAAGGGATTGCAGACAAATGTAAAACAGAACCAGGTCTATTCTATAAATTCATAAACAACAAATTGCAGGTAAAGGATAATATTCAGAGGTTGAAAATGGGAAATAGATTCACGGAAGATGAAAAGGAAATGTGTGAAACACTAAACGAAACGTTCCAAAGTGTGTTTGTACAAATGAAATCTTTAGGGAACCAGATACAATAAGAATTCCAGAGAACAACATAGAGCACATAGAGGTGTCTAGAGACGAAGTGGAAAAAATGCTCAAGGAGCTAAGTAAGAACAAAGCAGTTGGTCCAGATGGAGTTTCACCATGGGTTCTGAGAGAATGTGCACCTGAGCTCAGCATTCCACTTCACCTGATCTTTCAGGCATCCCTGTGTACAGGAATCGTAGCAGACGTGTGGAAACAGGCTAACATAGTTCCAATCTACAAAAGTGGCAGCAGGGAAGACCCCCTCAATTATAGACCTGTATCATTGACAAGTGTAATAGTGAAAGTATTGGAAAAACTAATCAAAACTAAATGGGTAGAACACCTAGAGAGAAATGATATAATATCAGACAGACAGTATGGTTTTCGATCTGGAAGATCCTGTGTATCGAATTTACTCAGTTTCTATGATCGAGCCACAGAGATATTACAGGAAAGAGATGGTTGGGTTGACTGCATCTATCTGGACCTAAAAAAGGCTTTCGACAGAGTTCCACATAAGAGGTTGTTCTGGAAACTGGAAAATATTGGAGGGGTGACAGGTAAGCTTCTATCATGGATGAAAAATTTTCTGACTGATAGAATAATGAGGGCAGTAATCACAGGCAATGTATTGGAATGGAGAAATGTCACAAGTGGAGTACCACAGGGTTCAGTTCTTGCACCAGTGATGTTTATTGTGTACATAAATGATCTACCAGTTGGTATACAGAATTATATGAACATATTTGCTGATGATGCTAAGATAATAGGAAGGATAAGGAATTTAGATGATTGTCATGCCCTTCAAGAAGACCTGGACAAAATAAGTAGATGGAGCACCACTTGGCAAATGGAATTTAATGTTAATAAATGTCATGTTATGGAATGTGGAATAGGAGAACATAGACCCCACACAACCTATATATTATGTGAGAAATCTTTAAAGAATTCTGATAAAGAAAGAGATCTAGGGGTGGTTCTAGATAGAAAACTATCACCTGAGGACCACATAAAGAATATTGTGCAAGGAGCCTATGCTATGCTTTCTAACTTCAGAATTGCATTTAAATACATGGATGGCGATATACTAAAGAAATTGTTCATGACTTTTGTTAGGCCAAAGCTAGAATATGTGTGGTGCCCATATCTTAAGAAGCACATCAACAAACTGGAAAAGGTGCAAAGACATGCTGTTAAGTGGCCCCCAGAACTGAAGGGTAAGAGCTACGAGGAGAGGTTAGAAGCATTAAACATGCCAAAACTAGAAGACAGAAGAAAAAGAGGTGATATGATCACTACATACAAAATAGTAACAGGAATTGATAAAATCGACAGGGAAGATTTCCTGAGACCTGGCACTTCAAGAACAAGAGGTCATAGATTTAAACTAGCTAAACACAGATGCCGAAGAAATATAAGAAAATTCACCTTCGCAAACAGAGTGGTAGACGGTTGGAACAAGTTAAGTGAGAAGGTGGTGGAGGCCAAGACCGTCAGTAGTTTCAAAGCGTTATATGACAAAGAGTGCTGGGAAGACGGGACACCACGAGCGTAGCTCTCATCCTGTAACTACACTTAGGTAATTACACTTAGGTAATTACACTTAGGTAATTACACACACACACACACATATTTCAAAGCGTTATATGACAAAGAGTGCTGGGAAGACGGGACACCACGAGTGTAGCTCTCATCCTGTAACTACACTTAGGTAATTACACACACACACTGAATTGCCGGAGCCGGAGTGGCTCCGCCAGCACGGCACAAAACGAGGCGACAGTAAGAAACATCAAATAACTGTAGTCCTGAAAACCCAAAAAAGGACAAGACAACCCAATGCAAAAAAGAAGACAACCTACGAAGAGCAAGAAACAGTGCATAGAAACACCAGGAACTGGTGTTTCTATACTGCCGAACCTCTTGTGGGAATGGGCTCCAAACGAGCCAGAACCCGAAGCAACAGCTGGACCGGGAGAAGAGGAACAGGTACCCCACCTCGACCAGTCCTGCCGAAAAGCATACACCATGAACGCCTCGTACGCGGGAAAGGGCGCCACATAAAAAGGGGCGACGCCTAGACCACGCCAACTCGAAGACGTCTATGGCCAGGAGTCCATACGTCAGGCAGAGCCAACAAAACGAATCGGCGATGACTGGCCAATCCGCAAACGGAGGAATGAACCGAGACAGCTGTCCGCCTGGACGCAGGACACCCCGAACATGAACCTCACTGTTAGCCAAACCCCGAGAATCCAGCAAATGAGCCACTTTAAGGAACCAACCCCAAAGGTCAACACCTAAGAGAAAACCCTGTGGTTCCGGCAAAGAACTGCCAGAGAACAGTCCGAATGGAGCTGAATGGTAGAGCACCGAGTGGCCCAAACCCTCCGAAGCACAAATCAGACAGTCACAAACTCTCGAAGTGCTGTGAGCCCGACGGATGGACAGACCACACCATCCCCGGTCGACCTGGTGAGCACTGGTCACAAAGCCCCAGCCGAGAGATGACCCGTCCGTGAACACATCGAGCGAAGGCTTGGGGAGGTGTCAAGGCACGGAACCCCGAAAACCCCAAAGAGGAAGCTGGTGACACAGCACCAACACAAGATCCCCGGAGGAACGAACCCAACGATTGCAAGAGAGGCAGAAGGAGAGTCTCCAAAGGAAGCAACCAGACGCCGAAGTCAAACCCGACCCCGCGGGCAGACCAGCACGTCGAAGTTCAGACTCCCGCACAACTGCTCGAGGTACCGTTGA